TGTGTGTGTGTGTGTGTGTGTGTGTGTGTGTGTGTGTGTGTGTGTGTATACATCTTTATCCACTCATTTGACTGGCCTTCTTAAGCAGGAACTCTAGCTCTTTTCTTTTTCTTTTTTTTTTTTAATTTTTTTTCAACGTTTATTTATTTTTGGGACAGAGAGAGACAGAGCATGAGCAGGGGAGGGACAGAGAGAGAGGGAGACACAGAATCGGAAACAGGTTCCAGGCTCTGAGCCATCAGCCCAGAGCCCGACGCGGGGCTCGAACTCGCGGACCGCGAGATCGTGACCTGGCTGAAGTCGGACGCTTAACCGAATGCGCCACCCAGGCGCCCCTCTAGCTCTTTTCTAAGTATATCCTGTATGGACATAAATATGCAGGTATTTATATTTGTGTTCATAAATGTTAATAATGCCCTTATACCACTCCATCATTCCTAACACACACATACACAAGCTCATACACACACATGCAAAATACTAAATGCTACGAGCATAGGAACTATGTCTTCTTTATCTCATGTCCAGTGTTTAATTCATAGCTGGCACTCAGTATGTGTCTGCTCAACTGAACCGAACTTTGTATCTAGACTTGATGTACTTCCCCACTTTGTAAATGAGGAAACAGGGGTTCCATGAAGTGAGGGAACTTATCCAAGGTCATAAAGACAGTCTGTAGAGTTGTAACTTCTATCAGGCCTCCAACTCTAAAGCCCTTTCCACTACCAATATACTCAAAACTCACAATTGGAACCATAGTGAGTACAAGGTGAGAGGAGGCAGTGCCCACCCTGCAGACAGCAGAGAATCAACAGGCGTATTTTTGACAAAGATCACTGATATTAAAAATAGCAATTTTTTCCCAAGTTACTGCAATCCCAAGAAACTGTGCCTAACAGTGAGCCATAAAGGAGTTGAAAACTCAAAGCTTGTACCAAATCCAGCTTTAGTGAGGTCTTTGTTGTTTGCCATGTAGTTTCTAAACATGTTGAAAATACACAAGTTGAGGTGCAGATGCACAGAACTGTGCATCACAACTGTTTTATCCTCCTCCCATTTTACTCACATACACACCCACAATTCCCTACCATTCTTGCAACTTATTATTAGAATTCCAAAATGCTCTGAATACTCTACTTTAGAAAATGAATTCTTTATCTGAGTCAGTTAACACTAGAATATTTTAAGAAAATAAGTTGAAGGGGATAAAAGTCTCTCCTAAACCAGTATCTCTTGTTTTTCAATTGTGAATCCCTATCAAGGAGTTAATTAAATCAAATAATTATGTTAAAAGCCTTCAGATATTTTCCTACTCAGTTTTATTTAATAAATGCTTGATTAAACTAATCAACCATTTTGCAGGAAGATTCTCCTACATAATGAAGGTGATCAATTCAGTGATTTATTTTTTCTGAGTCCTAAGTATATATGGGGCTTAAAAAGCAACTCAGTAAACACATAAATTAACTTACAGTGTTTTCCCACCAGTTCCCTCTACTTGTACCAGATAACATAGAATAGTGTTTCTACTGACACCAGTAAATCAAATTCAGCCATTAGCCAATAAGGTTAAAAAACAGAGTCTAATCATAAAACAACCCAAAACCATTCAACAACAGACACAGGATCTTCAAGAAAAAGATGATGAAACAAGTAAATTCAGCCAAGTCTGAATTTTTTTAACCTATTATCTTCATGTATATGTCACAGTGACTTGATATTTTTAAACATTTGAAGTGAAATGTTTTGAGTTTTAACTTTAATCCCAACTTCCCCTAATTTTATCTAGTGTGTAAATAATGTTAGAATCATAAGCCTCCAGGACTCCTATAGCTCTAAAGCTTAAAAAAAAAAAAAAAAAAAATGAAGGATTCAAATTATACTCATGAAACACTGAAAATAACTGAGACCTAAAAGAGAGATACGCAATTTTAACCTCTCATGAAACATGGTTAACTTTACCTAGTTTTAGACTAGCAACTTGTAAATGTGGTTGTAGTAGACAAATGGGATGATCTGCCCCACACTTATTCCCACCCTCTACCTTGTCCTGCTACATGGTTAACATGGAAGATGTCTGGTGTGTACAATGTGACCCACCTTCCTGACTGGTCCAAGGCTGGGAACAGTATGAAGCCATGTTGTCTGCCATGTGGACAAAGCCACTTTGCTTTGAGAAAGAAAATGAAGCTGATAACAAGAGTAAAGGATAGAAGGAAAGGAAATGTCCAGTAGCATGAATTACTGGTTCCAGTTTCTGGAAGTCCAGATGTCCATGCACTTACCCTACACCCCTAATGAACTATTCAATCTTTCTTAATTTCCAAAAATCAGTACATTATACTTTGTTTTCCTAATAAATGCAGTGTCCCTACAGGATATAGGTCATGTAAGAAAATAAGAATCAAAATTAAGAAAAACTTTTAAAAAGCAAGTGTGAATAAAGTTATATTTAATACAATAATAACACCAGAAAAGCTGGCTCATAAAAATTCACTCTTGCCTATTAATCATCTTTAAAAAGAGGTATTACCTTTTCTAGTGTCTTAAATATTGGAATTTTTTCACGTGTAGAATAATTTGTAGAACAAGATCTTCGCTGTATTATATGTTGGAGTCTTTCCAGCTCTTTCTTATAAAAATCTCGTTCTTCTTCTATACCTTTCAGAAACGTATCTAAACGAGAGGGTGACTTGTCTCGACGTTTTATTCCGTGTTCTAGCCTCATCCTTTCAACTTCCAGAGTAAGTTCTCTTTCTGTAAGTTCAAGTAGTTAAATATTAAAACAGTGTTGGATATAAATTGTACAATTAGCCAAATAAATTATTTGAATAAGTTTTAGAATACAAGCTACTAAAAATCATTAATCTTTGTATATCACCTGGTGCTCGTCATGACACGTGCACTCAATCGTCATCACCTATTTCACCCATTCTCCAACCCACCTCCTCTCTGGTAACCATCAGTTTGTTTCTTTTTTCTTTCTTTAAAGATTTTACTTTTAAGTAATCTCTACACCCAACATGGCAACTGAACTCACAACCTCAAGATCAAGAGTTGCATGCTCTTCTGACTGAGCCACTCAGGCGCCCCAAGAGTGTGTTTCTTGGTTTGCCTTTTTCCCTTTGCTCATTTGTTTTATTTCTTAAATTCCACATATGAATGAAATCATATGGTATTTGTTTTTCTGACTTATTTCACTTAATACTCTCTAGCTCCACCCATGTTGTTGTAAACAGCAAGATTTCATTCTTTTTTATGGCTAATATTCCATTGTATAGATATACCACCTCGTCTTCATCCATTCACCAGTCGATGGACATTTGGGTTCTGTCCATAATTTGGTTATTATAGTAATGCTGCTATAAACATCGGGGTACATGTATCCCTTTGAGTATTTGTGTATTCTCTGGGTAAATACTTAGTAGTGTGATTGCTGGATTATAAGGTAGTTCTATTTTTAACCGTTGAGGAAACTCCATACTATTTTCCAGTGGCTGTACCAGTTTGCATTCCCACCAACAGTGCAAGAAGATTCCCCTTTCTCCACATCCTCACCAGGCCCCATTGTTTCTTGTGTTGTTGATTTCAGCTATTCTGACAGGTGTGAGATGATATCTCATTGTAGTTTTGATTTGCATTTTCTTGATGGTAAGTGATGATGAGCATCTTTTTTCTTTTTTTAAAAGTTTATTTGAGAGAAAGAGACAGAGAGAAGAGTGCATGCACATGGGGGAGGGACAGAGATAAGAGAGAGAGAGAATCCCAAGCAGGCTCCACAATGTCAGTGCAGAGCCTGATGTGGAGCTCAAACCCATGAACCATGAGATCATGTCCTGAGCCAAAGTCAGACAGACACTTAACCGACTGAGCCACCCAGGCACTCCTGATGAGCATCTTTTCATGTGTCTGTCTGCCATCTGTATGTCTTCTTTGGAAAAATGTCTATTCCTGTCTTCTACCCACTTTTTAACTGGATTATTTGGTTTTTGGGTGTTGAGTTTTGTCAATTCTTAATATATTCTGAATACTAACTCTATCAGATATGTCATTTGCAAATATCTTCTATTCCACAGGTTGCCTTTTAGTTTTGTTGACTGTTTCCTCTGCTATGCAGAAGCTTTTTATTTTGATGTAATCCCAATAGTTTATTTTTTCTTTTGCTTCGATTGCCTCAGGAGACATATCAGGGTGAGCATGTTTAAATGCCAATGGACAAAAACAGAACAGACTAAAATTATGGAAAGGAGACTATTAATATGCAAAGTTTTAAAATTAGAGATCCAGAGAACAGACGGAGGCAGTGGCCTTTCCTAAGAGGGACATACTTCCACAGTAACATGAGGGAAGATAATGACAGACAGTTTAAGATCTGGGGACAGAAAACTGACAGAAGGCTTCCCTGATGGCTTCCATTCTCTTAGGGAACCTGAAGATTGCCTACTCAAAATGGGAAGTGGAATGAGAGTCACAGCCTTATTGAGAATGGAAAACATTTGAAATGTTCTCTGCAGAGAGTAGGAAATCAAGTGGTAAGAAATACAGAGTAAGATTTCCATACATCATTGAGTGCGCAGCTGAGATTCAGGACCATCTAATTTACAGTGCTATTGATGCGTCTGGTGCATACACATGCAGTGGTTAACTGTTCACGTGTAAATGTGTAAAGGGTAAATATTTTGGTTGATTTGTGCCTGGATTTTTGGCAGGGAGGGTGCATTCACAACAGAGAAATAGGGGGTTTCATGTATTCGAAAGATCACACTGAAATGACAGGTCATGGCTAGCTATGAAAGGAAGTAAACTGCAAACTTCTGTATATAGATCTAAGCACTTTAATGTATTAACCCATTTAATCCTCACAACAATCTTTTGGGTAGGTACCATTATTAACACCATAGACAGGGAAACTAAGGCATAGAGAGGTTAAGTAATGTGCTCAAGGCTTACAGCCAGTAAGGAGAGAAGGGGTCAAATAGATTATCCACTTGGATGCTAAAGAGCCTAGGATATAGCCTCTTCTTAATATAGCACACTGGCTTTCTTTTACTTTCCAAGACACATGGAGTTTGAGGGCATCAGGCTTCTGCTCTTGCCATTCCTTCTGCCTGGGAAACTCTGCCCCCAATTTTCATCTGGCTGGTGTCTTGTCTCTGAGACCTTGGGCCAGTCAATTTCTAGCATATCTCCCCCTATTTTATTACCCCTTATCATCTCAAACTGGCTTTTTCATTTATGTGCTACTAACAAAGGCTCCACAAGAGCAGGAACCTTGTATATTTTGTTCACTACGATCATATACCCAGTACCTGAAACAGCCTGGCACACAACAAGCTCATAAACATTTTGAATGAATGGGTGAGTGGATGAATTCTTAGGTGTTTCCTAAACCAACTCATTTAGTGCTGTTACCCTACTGAGAGAGAGAGAGAGAAAGAGAATGAATGTGTTCTTTCAAGTGATACAAGTATATTTCCTTATAAAGATTCTGCCCTTCAATTTTTCACTATTTCAGAAGTTTTCCTCTTAGTCTTAATTAATTCTATAATCTGCCTCAAAGAAGGACATACTTCTACTGGAAAATATTCAAGCAGGGTTCCTTGTGCCAACTAGTCAAAAATATAAAAGAATCCTGTAAGGTTGTTGAGGGACAGAGATTTTTCACTGTATTTACAGCACTTAGTATGGTTTCTGGTATATAACAAGCACTCCACAAATATTCATTGAATGAATGAAAGAAAGATAATCTACTAAGAAAAAATAATGCCTCAGGAGGAAATCACAATCACTTTTTAAGTTATTAACATTTTATATTTTACCTGTAACTGCAAAACTTTCCATTTTTTTGTTAAGTCTTTGCTTTTCTTGTTCAAGCTGATGTACAACAGTTTCCAGGTCTGATTTTATAAGGAGTTCATCACTCAGTCTCTCCTTTTCTTTATGGCATAAGTTTAATTCCTGCAAAATTTAATACTATAATTAAGATTTCTAACAACCTTATAAAATATCATAGCACTTAAAATAAATATTTAGTAGTACCTTAAATTAAGAGTAACTGACATACACACAGACACACATTTTCAGTTAGTCAAGTCTACGGTTTCAACTAGAGTTAATTGTCAATTGTAGCTAAAAGGATCATAAAACCCAAATGTCAATAGTGCTCCTTTCTGAGAGTTATTAAATTTTGTTTTCATTTGCTCAGCATACTGTCCTACTTTTTAAAATGAATAAAAAGTGTTAAAACTTTATTTTTAAAGGAAGGCAGAACAAAGTCACAGTGTTCTAAAACTATCATATGTCTCAGTAACTATGCTGGTCATTCTCTTTGCCTCATCTGCACAGTGGGGATAAGATCAGTACTTGGACACCAAAGATTCACTTGTGAGGATGGAACTAAGGCTATGAAGCACTCTGCACAGTGTCTAGCACATGGAAAATGCTTAATAAATGTTAGCTATTAATTTCATTAGTATTTACCTTAAAAATATATAATATAGCACTAATGGAAAAAATAAAAAAGGTCAGAAAATAACTACAGCATCTTACTGTCAGCCAATACTACTGAAACTTGGTCAGAATTCTCAGACAAGCATTATGAATCACATTTGACTGTTTATAGTGTATATACAACAGTAGTGAACAAAAGCAAAAATCTCTGCATGACACTGTTAGTAAAAAATCACCAAAACATCCACTTTCTGTTTAAGGCTTCATGGGAGAATTTCACAGTATCTTTGAGATTCAAGAGTAGACAACATCTAGCAGGTTTAGTTAATTCAATTATTCAGTATTGACTTAAATACCTGTAGTTGAATAAAAAGGAAGCCACTGCGATTCACAGTGAGCACATAAAAATCAACAAGTATTCAAGCACCTACAATGTGCCAGCATATCACAATGGCTCCATGGGGGGTGGGGTGGGAGGGGAGTTTCATTTTCTAATTTAAGCCACCAGAACATTGCTGCTACACTGTATATATGAGAAATATGTGTCTGTATGTATATATACGTGTGTGTGTATATATGTGTATATATGTGTGTATATGTATATATACACACATATATACACACATATACACATGTATGTGTATATATATATATATATATATACACACACACACACACACACACACACATATAAAACAGTATATAGAATGAAAAAACTTGCATTAGTCTCAGTTTCTAATCTTAGCAGAAACTCATCCCATTTAATGGCTATTTAAAAAAATCCCCAATCATCTTTTGGGTGACCACCCAGGACCTTCCACCTGTAAGCAAGACATTCTGTCAGTTCTGGACTACAGAACTTTATGCTATTTCTGGGTTTATGCTGGGATGATTACTACTTTTTTCATTTGAAGACTATCAGAACAAATAATATCTAGGAAAATGGTTTATAATACTAAACAAAGCTTTTTAAAAGAGGACTGAGTGTTTTTGTTCAAAATTTTATTTTTGGGGCGCCTGGGTGGCGCAGTCGGTTAAGCGTCCGACTTCAGCCAGGTCACGATCTCACGGTCCGTGAGTTCCAGCCCCGCGTCGGGCTCTGGGCTGATGGCTCGGAGCCTGGAGCCTGTTTCCGATTCTGTGTCTCCCTCTCTCTCTGCCCCTCCCCCGTTCATGCTCTGTTTCTCTCTGTCCCACAAATAAACGTTGAAAAAAAAAATTAAAAAAAAAAATAAAATTTTATTTTTAAGTAATCTCTGCACCCAAACCAGGGCTCAAACTCATAGCCCCACAATCAAGAGTCGCATGCTCCAATGACTGAGCCAGCCAGGCACCCCAAGACTGAGTACTTTAATAAAAGTCAACAATGTTTAAAGTAATTATCAATTTCTAGTCTTAATATTACTAAACTGACAAGTCCTGAAGTAGTTAAGAGTATTCCTAACAGGTTTTCCAAATTTGAATTTAACTTCTAATCTACTATATATGAAATTAAAGAATTACAAAAATATAAACAGAATTAAATATATCCATTCAAAAGAATATGACTCAGCCATAAAAAGGAAGTACTTGCTACAAGCATGAACCTTGAAACCACTGTGCTAAATGAAGGAAGCCAAACACAAATGGCCATATATTGTATGATTCCACTTATATAAACTGTCCAGAATAGGCAAATCTATAGAAATAGTGGTAGATTCGTAGTTACCAGAGGCTGAACAGAGGAAAATGGGAGTGACTGCTAATGGGTATGACATTTCTTATTGGAGTGATGAAAATGTTGTTACTAGACTGAATGTGTAAATTACATCTCAATTAAAAAATATATGCAATATAAAGCACACAAATTTTATTACCAAAAGTTCTGGCAATTCAACATAACTACTTACCAGTTGAAGTTTTGCCATTGTTTCTTCAAGATCCCGCATTTCAGAAAGCTTTCTTTTAATCTCTTTCTAGGAATAAAAAACTTACTAAGTACAGACCTGAAAGTCAAGAATACTTATCACTAAGGGGCACCTGGGTGGCGCAGTCGGTTAGGCGTCCGACTTCAGCCAGGTCACAATCTCGCGGTCCGTGAGTTCGAGCCCCGAGTCACGCTCTGGGCTGATGGCTCAGAGCCTGGAGCCTGTTTCCGATTCTGTGTCTCCCTCTCTCTCTGCCCCTCCCCCATTCATGCTCTGTCTCTCTCTGTCCCAAAAATAAATAAACGTTGAAAAAAAATTTTTTTTTAAAAAAGAATACTTATCACTAAGTCACACTGCAAATAAGACCGTCATTTTTCAAGTAGTCATCCTTCTCACCAGGGAGATTTAGCTGTTTGTTGTTGTTTTGTTTTAAAGTTTATTTATTTTGAGAGAGAGAGAGAGAGAGAGAGAGAGAGAGAGAGAGAATTCCAAGCTGACTCCACGCTGTCAGCACAGCACATTGTCTGACACAGGGCTTTTATCTCACTAATCATGAGATCATCACTTGAGCCAAAATCAAGAGTCAGAGGCTTAACCGACTGAACCACTCCATGTGCCCAGAGGCTTTAGCTGTTTTACTTTTTTTTTTTCCATTTTTTTAACGTTTATTTATTTTTGAGAGACAGAGAGAGGGTGAGCAGGGGAGGGGCAGAGAGAGAGGGAGACAGAGAATCCGAAGCAGGCTCCAGACTCTGAGCTGTCAGCACAGAGCCTGATGCAGGACTCGAACCCATGAACCAAACTGAGATCATGACCTGAGACGAAGTCGGACGTTTAACTGACTGAGCCACTCAGGCGCCCCGAGGCTCTAGCCGTTTTAAGCCTCAATTTCTGTGAAGAGGAGACAACGTTCAGGCTTCTCTTTAATTTCTTGGTATCCTGAATGCTTACAGGGAGCTATTTATAACGTCTAAAACAAGACGACCACTTAAAAAATATTTTGCCTACATGCTTGTAGGGTCTTCCTTGAACCATAATTTTTGGGTTCTTTTATGGCACCATCATTTCCTAATTTTCCTATCTTTCCACCTGCAACTACCAAGGAGAGCGAGAGCACTGAATGCCAATGTTAAAATATTTTGACCCAAAAGGAATCTTTTGTGAGCCAAGCTATCATTCCTGACCAATGCCAATGGGACCTGAGAAGCTATATTCAGTATGTTGTGTGCATGAGCATAGAAGATGCAAAAGGAGGAAGAAAGAGAGGAATGAGATACAGGACTGTTGCAATGAAACATGAATCACAAAAACAAAATTAAAACTGCACTATATTCTTCATTTTCTAAGTTTATTTTCTTTTAGTAATTTCTATACTCAATGTGGGGCTCAAACTCATGATCTGGAGATCAAGAGTCACGGGCTCTTCCAACTGGGCCAGACAGGAGCCCCTATATTCTTCATTTTCAAGACTCTTTTGGAAATTCTGGGTCCCTTGAGATTTTATAATTTTATAATCTTTTTCTGTTTCCATAAAAAAAAAAATGCCATTGGGATTTGGATAGGGATTGTACTGAATCTGTAGATTGCTTTGGGTACTAAGTCCTCCAATCCATGAACATAGGATGTCTTTCCATTTATTTCTGTCTTCTTTGATTCTTTTCAGCAATGTTTTTTACTTTCTCAGGTAAGTTTATTCCTAAGTATTTTATTCTTTCTGATGATATGGCAAATGAGATTATTTTATTAATTTCCTTTTGGATTTTAATTATTGGCATATCAAAACATACCTGATTTTTGTGCGTTTTGTATCCTGCAACTTTGTTGAATTTATTAGTTCAAGTTTTTGTGAAATCTTTAGGATTTTCTACATATAAGATCATGTCACACAGAAACATAATTTTATTTCTTTCTTTCCAATTTGGATGCCTTTTCTTTCTCTTACCTAACTGCTTTGGCTAGTACCACGTTGAACAGAACTGGTGAGAATAGGCATCCTTGCATTGTTCCTGATCCTAGAGGAAAAGCTTCCAATCTTCACCACAGGGTATGACATGAACTGTGGGCTTTTCATATATGGCCTTCATTATGTTGAAGTATGTTCCTTTTAATGTACTAATTAGTGGATATGACACTGCATAAAATCGACTCAGTGATGTAGCGTACTGGTCCTCAAACTAGATTATATACCCATTCCTGAGGTAACATGAAGACTTCCCAAGTATTATGTAAAACTACTGTATACATGTAGTTTTAGTGTATCCATATCTGGATATACAATCCTTTTCAAGAATTATCTACCTGACAACCTGCATGTGATCTAGGTATCTCATGAGTTCTCCTCTCCCACTTTTTCCTCTCAACTGTTTTTCTCCCACTATTTTTTAAAATTTTATTTATTTATTTTGAGAGATAGAGAACTTACATGCATATGCACAAGTGGGAAGGGCAGAGAGAGCGAGAGAGCGAGAGAGAGAACCCTAAGCAGGCTCCACATTGCCAGCACAGAGCCCAATGCAGGGCTCGAACTCACAAACTGTGAGATCATGACCCGAGCCAAAACCAAACAGTTGGACACTTAAGTGACTGAACCACCCAGGCACCCTCTCTCCCACTTTTTAAAGCAAAAGGATGCATCTAATATCACACTGTCTCAAAATATGAAAAACTTTTGAAGCATCAGGCAAAAAGATAATCTGAGGGGCGCCTGGGTGGCTCAGTCGGTTAAGCGTCCGACTTCAGCCTGGGTCACGATCTCGCGGTCCGTGAGTTCGAGCCCCGCGTCGGGCTCTGGGCTGATGGCTCAGAGCCTGGAGCCTGCTTCAGATTCTGTGTCTCCCTCTCTCTCTGCCCCTCCCCCATTCATGCTCTGTCTCTCTCTGTCTCAAAAATAAATAAATGTTAAGAAAAAAAAATTAAAAAAAAAGATAATCTGAAATTTATAAAAGATACATATTTATTAAGATATGTATTAATAAGACATATCTTATTAAGACATGTATTTCCAATAAAATTTTACTTTTTGATTTAGTATGTATTTATCAACATTTGTTTGTATTTGTCACTCTGATCCATTGATTACTGATAATTATAATGATAGCACCATTCGGAGGAAAATGTTAACACTTTGAACCTTGTAGTCAAAGGACACTTTTAAAAATAAAAAATGTCAATAAATAAAATAAAATATTTCAATTCATGTATTTTTTTATTACAGAGATGTTTGATAGGGTGATCACGAAAAGATATTCAAGCATAAATATGTTAAAAGAGGATAAAACTGGAGATTTCAAGAAGAAAGGGTCATTTAGATTCTACTAGCTATATTTAAAAGAACAATGTAACAGTTTTAAGAGATCGGTAGGTTGGAAATTACATCCTTTGTATCTATTTAATCTGTTTATTAATTACTATTTTTAAAGATTTTATTTTTAAGTAATCTCTACACCCAATGTGGGGCTTGAACTCACAACCCTGAGATCAAGAGTTGCATGCTCTTCCACTGCACCAGCCAGCTGCCCCCTTTCGTATTTATTTAAACTTAAAGATGAAAAATGTTAGCTACCAACTTAAAATGTGCAAGGATATACACTGTTCAAAAAATACTTTTAAAGGGTTCATGAGCACAAAATGACATAGAGGACAAACTTCCAAAGCTCACTCACAACAGAGATAAAAGAACAGAGATGAAAATCTTGAAGGAAAAAAGGACAAAGTCTGGAGAGAGCTAGCCTGAGAAAAAGCATGTTTCAGAAACACACCCAAATTTAGACAGCAGAAAAACCTGAATTACAAAACAACCAAACCAAAAGACCCAATCAGGTATCAAAGGGCTTAAGCTCACTATGTTCTGGAAGAATTAAGAAACGCTCCCACAACCTAGACATACCTTTGCTTCCCCAAGTTCTTTATCAGCAGTCTCAAGCACTTCTTCTTTATGTCTTTCCAACTGCTGTGCTAACTGGTCTATTTCGGTTAATTCTTGGCAGAGTTTTTCATTTTTGTTACTTAAATTAACAACTTCAGTAGTTACGGTTTCCTTGGTTTCCATAAGCTCCTGTATATGCTTCTCCAGGTCTTTATTAGCTTGCTGAAGAAAGTCAACCTAAGTTGAATTTGTAATTAACAGGTATATGAATTGGAAAATTATCCTAAATACTCAACTTTCAAAATACTTCAAAATACTCTATTTTTTAAAATACTGAAAATTAAACCAGAGGTATTTTACATTTGCAATCTTACACTGTTGATTCACAAAACTGACAATGTGTGGTTTAACAAAAATATATAGCCATTGGCATTCAACTTTTAAGCATGGAAGGAAAAGTAAAAAATTTGTGTGAACTTCTTCCCAACAGAGAGTTCTACCATTATGACAAGAATATCACTACAATGATAATATCACTCTGGACTGTGCTGTCCAATATAGTAGCCACCAGCACCCATATGTGCATACTGTAGAGCTAGTCCAAACTGAGGTGTGCTATAAATGTAAAACATATGCAAGATTTCAAAGACTTGGTACAAAAAAGAAAAAAAGGAAAATATGTCAACATCAACATTTTACAACAATTACACACTGCAATTATATTTTGGATATACTGAGGTAAATACATTATTAAAATTAATTTCATCTGTTTCTTTTTTATTTTATTTTAATCTGGTTACTAGAAAATTAAAAAAAATTTTTTTAATGTTTATTTTTGAGAGACACACAGACAGAATGCAAGCAGAGGAGGGGCAGAGAGAGAGGGAGACCCAGAATCCGAAGCAGACTCCAGGCTCTGAGCTGTCAGCACAGAGCCTGACATAGGATTCGAACCCACGGACCATGAGATCATGACCTGAGCTGAAGCTGGATGCTTAAACCAACTGAGCCACCCAGGCGCTCCCAGAAAATTTTAAATTATATATGTGGCTCATATCATATTTGTATTGGACAGCACTGCTCTAGGGCTACTATTGATATTCATGACTTACTATTCTGGTTCTGGTCCAGTCAGCAATGACATGTCTAAATTTCTAAAGGTGATGTAACATGCTTTATGGAA